CGCTTCGCAAGTAAACGGATTTTCTGACGAAAATCGCAAACAGGTCGACTAAGCAGTATTTCTTGCAGATTTAACGGCTGGTGTGCATTTGTATAAATGAACATTGGTTGAGGGTTTAAAATCATGCCAGATATATCCCTGCCTCCTCATCTGCTAAACAATGCGAGAAGCTTTTCCGAAATTTAAGGGCCGCCGTGTCTGTGGATTTCAGTTAAAATTAATTTGTTGTCCGGAGACTTCCCAGTGGACGCTTACTCTACAAGATTTTGGTCAGATGTGGTTATGCAGCAGCACGTGAGGTAAACAAACCTCAGCCACCTCTCATACGGGACCGGTGATAAAAGGAGTTTTTACAGTTGGGATCGGTGAACGCACAGGCAACGAGGTCGATTAGTTGTATGCAAGAGGAAAGCTACTGGGAATGCGCGGTTGTACTTTCAGTGGTTGAGAAATAGTCGCCCTAATTTCCTAGCCCTAACCCTTGACCCTGACCCCTAACCCCAAGCCCATCAGTATTGTGTCCATCAGATGGGGCTACATAACTACATCTTACCCAGATTTTTGACAGAACTCACGAGCAGGTCGATTTAACGATATTTCAGAAGAGCATTTGGCGAGCTTACGCGTGCTTTCGATAAATTCTCATCGGACCTGCACATTTATATGGGAACGAGGTACAAGCTGAACTTGAGATTGATAAGTGCAATCGATTACGGTTCGTCCTTTCATACAAACGCGGCACGTGAATAGAGCGGGGAGGAGAGGAGAGGAGGAAGTAAGTGACAGTGAGGGTGGGTGGGGTGGGTGGGGACGGAGGCGCGGAGACGTGCATACAGTTAATCGATCATTGCCCACGGTAGACGCAGAACGTGCAAGATGTTCTTCCGCGCGCACAGGACCGGGCTCTGTAGCCTGTTGGCAGTCGCTTCCGCCGTTGCTAGTAAGCGCTGACCCAGTCGCTTAGGTTAGTTAGGTGGAACCCTGTAAATTACACGGAAGGCTTAGTTGGGATCCACACGGAGCCCAGAATCAACCATGTGTGCGAGGATGGAGCTGTGTATACTCTTAACTTTACCCTTCCTCAGACATGCCGGCAGGGGTTCTCGTATTCTTGCGGATAGGCGCTGACTACTACGACTAATGTAGCCTGCTCCACAGGAGCAAGTAAAAGGCAAAATGCACATGAAGGTGATCTGAACTGGTAGCTTATCCTTACCTTCACCGCGTAAGACGGGTTGGCCGTGTATTTGCATAAATGAACATTGGTTGAGGGTTTAAAATCGTGCCTCCACAGCTGCTAAACAATGCGATAAGCTTTTCGGAGATTTTAGGGCCGCCGTGTTTGTGGATTTCGACCAAAATTAATTTGAAGACGAGATGGCGAGCATACGTGGCTTTCGATAAATTCGTTTTGGGCCAGTACAGTTATATGGGAACGGGCTAGAAGTAAAACATGCCTGCGATAGGAGAAATCGATGAGAGTTCTCCTTAAAACACAGGCGGGGTGTGGGAATGTGGAGGGGGTAATAGCAGAAGCGGCCGCCATTAGGATACAATGGTCAATCTTATGCGCACAGAAGAACCACGTTCAAGCTCCGCGCCTACAGTGGTCGAAGGTCGACTAACGCTGCAACTCTCCTCGCCATTCCGCTCTCACCCCGCCCCTGACACTGACTGCTTATATCCCCCCCCCCTTGTCACCCACATTCCCACACCCCGCCTGTGTTTTAAAGAGAACTTTTATCGATTTCTTTTACAGCTGACATGTTTTACTTCTACCCCCTTCCCATAAAACTGTACTGGCCGGACGAGAATACATCGAAAGCTACGTATGCTCGCCATCTCGTATTCTGATTACTACTATGGGGATTTTCGAAAATCTTAAATTAATTTGCTGTCCGGAGACTTCTCACTAGACGCTTACGGTACAATTCCGTTTTTCTCCTGCATGTTAGATGATCGTTCGGGTTCAACACGCGTCTCCACTTGAAGAACCTTGTTAGTGAAGCTCTTGGAGATAGCTGATTAGCAGTTCAGGATGCCGTTCATCAGCGCCGGCTGAGCAGTTTCCCTAGCGTGTGCCAGGAAATGCATCGAAGCGTCTTAAGACAGGCCACGTCCGATTTAGCCTTGAATCTGATTGGTCGGTCGGAAGGCCGAGTGGATGAATGCCCTGCTGCGCACGCGCAGACCCTCGCGAGAAGCCCAACGTTGAGACAGGGGCTTGGAGTAGGGCCACTGCAGGGCCGCCCGAGCCGAGCAGATGCACGCCCCTTGACTTAAACGCCACAGACTTCTTTGATAATCCCTACGATCGTCATCTCACTGCGATCTGTCTATACTTGGATCTCGTCTGCATTGCCAGTTAACCAGGCCCCTTGTATTTCCCTTAGACCCTGCCAAATAAGGTAGCTTTAGCGGCAGTGGTCCTGTTGTTATCATAGTTCGGTTGTGGCTTGTTGTCCTTCGCCAGCGGACGCCATAATTTTGGTTGCATTAGTAATGGTACCGTCACCTGCGAACCCAACGTCTTGCAGAGCGATGACATGGATGGTGTCTGGCATTTTCTCCCAAATGCTGAGGATATCAATGCTCCGCTCCATCTCCAGGACTTAAGCGTGTAGCAGACTGTGGTTCATGCGATTGACGAGGTATACTGAACGTCTGGGTACCGTCTTCAAGTTCGAAATTTCAGCCTTTTCTTTGAGACGCCAAGGCTATGGCCACTCAACCTTTCCGCACCGCTCACCATCTTTACCTCGACTACACCACGCTGACGAGAGCATGGCCCAGAAATTTCCCGCGATGAGAGCGAGGGTACATCCACGTTGTCACTTTTCAGTTTTGAAAGTTAAAGCGAACGTTTTGCCGAGAACAAGATTGAGTTCGGCGTACGTCAGTAACAGAAGGAGGCTGTTGTCGTGGAACCGTCAAATGCGTGGCCGTCAAGCGTTCCCTTCCAGATGGTGTTATCTGTGCCTACTCGGTCCTTTAAATCAGACGTGAGGAAGTTAGCAGAGTCGCGCCGCTCACGAAAAGAATGAAGATGAACTTGTTCTCATGCAATTCTCGGCCACATCCCCAAAACAAATGGTTATTTTTCTGACGGCGTGATTAGTAATAGTCTTAGGGCACATTTTATGGCCGCTTCCGCGAATGGTGAGCAGCACATCCGTAAACGGGCTAGCTGAACCGGCCTAGGCGACTGCCGAACCATGTTATAGGTCAAGACCTAGTAGAAAGATGATCCGAATTAGCCTGGATTTCCTAAGGGGCTTGTATCTCACCCTCTCCATATGACGTTCTGTTTTGCGATCGATGGGGACGGGAATTAATCGTGGACTTATGGCAAGGAGTGCTTACGTAGCCCCACCTGATGGGCACGATATTTTTGGGGTCGGGGTTAGGGGTAAGGGTCAGGTGTTTTGGTTGGGGGTTAGGGGTAAGGGTTTGAGTTAGGCGTTAGGGGTTAGGGCAACTATTTCCCAATCACTAGAAGTACAACCGCGCATTCCCAATAGCTTTTCTTTTGCATGCAACTACTTGACCTTGTTGCCTGTGCGTTCTCCGGTCCCACCTGTATAAACCCCTATTACCACCGGTCCCGTATTAGAGGTGACTGGGCTTTGGTTACTTCAGGTGGGGCTACATAACCACATCTGACCGCAATTATTTCGTACGAAGATGAGCACACCGGATAGTCCTATCCGTTTAGACAGCTTATTGAGGAGGGTTACTGGGGTGGTACTGGCGTGCTGAGCTAACCTTCGTGAGACCGCAGATGAGAGCTAAGCACCTGGGTGGGGCGGAATGAAAGTTTTCACTCGGTCCATTGATGCATGTGGAGGAAACGTCTAGCACCCCACCATGGAGCAGCCAGTGACCCGCATCGATGGACGTGTTGTAATCGCACGACCTACACGTTGGCACCCACCCACCACACCCCATGCACGGCACACATCCGGTAGCGTGCTTTGCAGTGAAGAAG